TTGGTTTTTCTTTTCCTCAATCTAGTATGAAATAAGAGCAACCAGACAGTCTTATTGTTAGTCTTTGGACAAACTGCTTCTGAGTTACAGTATTCTAGGTAGTTCTGTAAAAATCACTATGGCCTGAAAAATGTGTGGAAACACTCCGTGAGTGTCTGTGCATCTCATTTGACACAGACTAGAAAGTTATCCCAGAATGACTTCCCAATAATTACTGCTATTGTTCCAGTTAAGAAAGGTGCATACAAAAAACGGGCTTGTCGTTAAAACTAAATATTGTCCATTCTTATAATTTTCAATACTCAATTAAGTATGTTGAATTTAAGATTTTTTTTTTCTGTTAAAGGTGGTATTTAACATATTAAATTAACATATTAAATTACACAACTGATCTTTGGGTGGTGTGATTAAGTGTTTTGTAAAAATAAGTCCACCAATTGTATATAAGCTTCTTTACCTTTCGTACCTGTTCAGATATATTTTAATTTAGGTACAGCTAAAGTTAAAAGCTTGAAGTTATAAACTTCAATTTATTGATGTTTGTATTTATATTCCTGGATCACTGATCAGGAGCAATTAATTACTAAACCCAAAAGTGCTGCCTAATTTGAGTCTGAAAATCTAAAACATGTTGTGACAGTGAGTTCTACCCTCTGCTGTGCCTCAATGTGTCTCTGGAACTGTCAGGTGTACAGACACTGCAAGGGGCTGGAGACCCTTCAAAAAGGTGTATCCTTAAATAGGAAACAATGAAAGAAAATTTTCAGTCATTTTGGAAGAAACCTAAGGAAGGAGGGAAGCTAGGGCATTTTTGGGTGCTCCTAGACAGGTGGAGCCCATTCTGAAAAGAGAAAGTTTTCACGAGGAGACCTCATGTTAGGAAAAATGATTACTCCTGTGAAACTCTGCTGCACTTTGGGGAAAATTGGAGCTTTGCTTTACTGAGTTCAGAAGTATGCCTGGTTCTTTCACCAGCACACTTAATTTTAAATAAAGTATCTATTATAAATGTTTATTCAATCTTTCTCCTTTTTAAACACCAAAAAGGAATTCCAGAGAAAAAAAAATCTAAACTAACATCAGGAGTCTGATTAAACTGGGAAGATGCAGAGGTAGGACCAAACAATTCTTATTTCTGTGCTGAGTTATTTTACACTGTTTAGTTTGCAAGGTTCCTTCCCTGATATATTGTAACAGCTGCCAAAGCACAACTTTAATGAGGTAAGGACTGGTTTAGCCTGGACTGTAAATGGTTCCTATGTTATGCTCCCCTGCATTAGCTGTATTCTTGAGACACATCCTTTCATGTAAAAGAGTTGTAGAGAGTAGAATGAGAAAGCACAGACTATAAAATGAACACGCTAACAGGAGCTTAAATTTTAACCTCTGCTGTTGTGCTGGTATTATGGTTGATGGAAAGTGCCATGGAGCATGCTCGCTGCAGAATTACTTTTTGACTAGATAGGACTTTTGTTTGAAAATAGATGCTTTCCCCAGGAGGAGAGACTGAACTACAAAGGACAGCTAAAGAATGAAGCACACAAATTTTCCTGGAAATGTTACAGCAGTGTTTCCAAACTTTGACCAAAATATTTAGATTATTATATTCTCTCCATCCTTGTGTAAAATCCAACATTTTGGTTGTGGCTAGAGGTGCAAGATTTACTGGAAAACTTAAGAATGAAATATAAGAATGCATATATATAATCAGAAATTAGGTAGCAATGAATTGAGTCAGAGGGACTGCTGTGCACAAATTTTTCTGCTGCATACATTGCTCAGAGAGGGAGTTGGAAGGCAGATCAGATTTGGCAGTGAAAGGTTGGAAATGCTCTAAGTGATGAAACTCTAAGTGATGAGGATAAATGAGTATTGTATCAGTTGTTGTTGTATCAGTACTGACTAATTAAATGGTTTCACACTATGAAATTTCCTTCTGCAGAAGCTTGCTTCAGTACAAATGTATAGAGAAGTCATCTAAACCTTTCCAGATATCTCAGGGCTTGTTCATCTTGTTAGATGAGCAAGAAAATGTAGGACTTCCCTGAAGGTGAATGGGCTCTAACCCAGTAAATTATCTTGGATCCAAAAGCCATTTTAATATTGATTTTGGGCTATGCTTAAACTCATAGTCTTTTTGCCTTATCTGATTTTCCACCAGAGATTTTTCTGGGGATTTTTTTTTTAACTGTTCTTGAAGTCATCCTTGTTCATTGTGCATTCCTTTGTAGGAAAGGCAGCAAAAATTTATGTGTGTCTTTACAAATAGCAGGAATTTGTCCCTTGCGAAGAACTATAGTAATTAAAGATACCAAAACTAGAAGCTGAAATTATGCTAAATGCTACTCAGGAATCATGGAATGGCACTGTTGATGCTATAAAGATAAGTGAAATTGGCTATTTTCTGTAGTAGCCCTTTTTGCAATTTAAACTTAATAGGCAATATTTAATCATAACTAAATATAAGAAAAAATCAATAATCAGGTGATTATCAGGTGATGTTTGTCCATTTTTTACAACTTTAAACTGACAAGTCATAGACTAGAGTGTCCTTCTAGTTGACAGTAAGTGGTATTTATGTTCCTCTGAGAGGAGATTAATCTAGATGATTTCCTAGAGTCTCTTTTAGTTCTTCATGTTCACAGTTCCTAGATGCTGACAGCAAGGGAACATTCAATCAGTTCAACATGAAGCTAAGTAAAAAACACTTATGATTTTTTTGAGATGCATAATTAAACTCTATCGTATATTGCCCCAAGATATCATTGCAGACAGATGGCAAACAGGAACTGAAAAAGTCTTAAAATTTTATATATCTCTTCACAGTATTTACAGTTGCACTAGAAGTGGGAATTATAGAAGGGATATAAACATTCATACTTCTGCTGTCTGTCAGATGGGAAGATAAAATTGGTTAGTGTCAAATTTTCTTATTTTAGAAAACCATATATTATTGTATATGAGACAAATGGTCAAGGTCTCTGTGCTAAATTCTGTGCTCTTTAATTGAATAATGGCTTTTTCCTGGCAAAAGCCTATGGAATTCAGCTCAGTGATGTCTTTACTATGTGAATTATTTTTCATGCAGTGCTATGCGCTGCTAATTGGGAGGCATTAATAACAACAATGCAAGTCCTAAAAAATTAACTGTTTTCATGGGTAGGAAATTCTATCTCTTGCCTACCATTAACCAGCAACCAGTGGCTCCTGTTCAGTATTCTATTCACCATGGAATAGTTTGACATGTCTTTAAACAGGAGTTTTAGTTAGAGGTTTAGGTTTAAAAGATTCTGCATTGCTGAACAGACATTCAGCAGGCTGACTGACTGTACTTTGAGCACTAGTGGAGTTAGAGCACTGCTTTAGTGAAGTAAATAATAAAAAACCACTAACTTTCAAGGTTAGTGTTAGAATGAAGAGCATGTTCCCCTAAGTTTAGGAAGAAAGGGATTTGTATTGCTATGATACTAAAGCAGAACAAGCATTCATAGAAGATCTAAAATTTTTTTTCTGTGATGAATGCTTTGAAAAATCTGTTCAGAATGTTGCTAATTTACACTGCTGGAATGAACAAATTTAGAGGTGACTTGTATGTACGCTATTCATAGCACATCTGAGTGCTGCATATGCTGAGCACCAAATTCCACCAAAGACATCAGTGCATTGCTTCTCAATGAGACTCTGCATTAAGGAAAACACACACTGCTGAGAGCAGGATTATTGTTGTTGAGAAAAAATGTGCAGACAAACTGGATGGGCAAAGAATAGATTTTCAACCCAGAGCTTACTGGAAAGAAAAAAAGGAGTCAGATGTTTCTTTATATACTACATTGTAACAGAATATGCAATCTATATTCTACTTAAATAACTTTATATTTTCTGAAGTGTGCAATAATTTCAATGACTTTAGTGTGTTGCCAGCGTTTAAGTTATCTTAATTGGTATAATCTATTTAAATCCTTTAGAGCTATTCCATCAACTTAGTGACTATTCCATGAATCACTCAGGAAATGTGTGAAAGCACACCTAAGCTTTGGAGAAGAAAACTTCCACTGTAATTTCAGTAATTCTCTTCAGATCTTGGGAACTGTTTATGACTCTAAAAAAAGTCTTTTTTTTTTCTTTTTTTTTTTTTTTCCCAGTGTCATTTTTTTTTTGGTTTTTTTTTTTTTTTTTTTTTTTTCTTGTAGGTAACCTAAGACAAGTAGAAAGGCAAGGAGATCTGTTGCAAGGATGACACATGCATCATTGTGTATATGATGACATATGACCAAAATCTGGTTAGAAGAAAAATGCTCTGGAGGGCTCTAAACTGGTAATAATATAGATATTTTTAAAGTGGAGGAAAAGCAGAAGTTTGTGTTGCTCTTTTAAGCTTCTGTAGGAGTACTTCAGCTACAGAAAAAAAAATGGCTCAGCTTCAGTGGTTATTAGCCCAGAGAGAGCTGTCAGTCACCTTGACTCCCTTGAATTACACACTGAAGAGTTAGTAACAGTAGTTGCCAGTGTTGCCAATAATTTTGGCACCCAAATGTCTTTTGTTTTAAATTATTTTATAGAGTTTTACATTTTTTTTCAGAAACATTCACTTTTTCTGGTTTGGGGTTGTTGAAAGAAGAAAATACTCTGCACATACACATACTGAAGTGCACAGGTCTCCATGAAACCATGCCCAGCAAAATCTTCTATCTGTCACAGCTTTCTGTCTGTGGCATCATCTCTCCTAGATGTACCAACATGTCATGAAATTATCTTTCATAAATAGAGCAACTGGTTACTGTGAGAAGTGTGGTGAAAACAGTGGGAGACAAACAGCAGAGAAGAAAGGGAACTTTCAGGAGGGTTAGGAAAAGCATTCAAAGTAAGGAGAAATCAGGGCTTTAAAACATTTTAGCTAGTGTAGAAAACACTTTGACTTCCTGCTTGATTTCTCACCAATAACACAAAATCCCATACTGTCATTGAAGACTGGAGAGTCAGCAAGAGCCTCTTTTCCTTACCTTGTACAGGCAGCCAGAATTCTGCCCATGGCTCCCGAGCACAGTGGGATTGGATATGCTCCACTTTCCGTACGAGTGCTGAACATGTGGCTCTGGATCCTGCTTCTGAAACCTGCTTAAAGAGAAATGCAACAGAAAGGAGACTTGTTTTAGTAGCTGGCAGTGCAGAAGGAATGAAGGATTTGTCATTTATTATTAGCTATTTTAATTATAAAAATTGCCTCACCAGTCTTCTGGCTAGAATAAACCCTGTGTGATGGGTTTGGTTCATTTGTCCACACCTCCATGCACTAACAAAGTGCTGTGCCATGTTCTGTAGTGTTTACAAAGCACTGAGACTCTGGGATGAATGTAGCCAGAAAAATATTATAGGTATGTCTGAAAGAGCCAAGTGTTTCCTATTGAAACTGCAGTGCTTTGAAGTCCCTTGAGAACACAACTATGCTAAATTCATCATCATTAGGTTGTGAGGCACTTTTAACAACTGCAGCAAGGAACCACACCAAACTTAAACTGAAATTTTCTAAGATTACATGGCAAAGTTTGTCTGGTGTAGCCAGTGTCTGTATATACACTCAAATACAAATATTTTGGCTTTGTATGTCTTATATGTTTAAAGATCTTGGTCCATCACTTGTTTCTCTTGATCATCTGTAGGCAAATAAGGGTTTGTTTGTAGACATATGAAGTTAAAAATAATAAGATTCACAGCATTGCACAGGACTTGATGCCAGATAGTTTCATTGTTGGACTTATATAGGTATATTAATATTGATAATTCAGTGCTATTAGATCCACTTGCATAAACAGCCATTAGTACTAAGATGTAATAATTGAAGTACTCAATACCTGAATTATTTTTATTAGGACAGAACGAGGAAAATGTATCATTACTGTAGATGCTAAGAGGTTAATATTGGTAGTAGGGCAGCTCTGCCATTCTTTTCACTTTCTGAAAAGGGAAAATTTCTCACTAGAGGAAACAGGAAAACTCTCTAATAATTCTGTTCTTTAAATTTGCTGGTGGTTATGCATAGCTAATGAAATTAAATCAGTAAGAATTTTCCTTCTAGTCAGATGAAATAAAGCTCATCATATAATAATTGTGTGATGTATTGCTTGCTGAAAAATGTCCAAGAGATTTAGAATATCTTCCCACACATAGTAGGATTTAATAGCTGTCTCCTAAGCATCTTTTTCTTGTTCATTATTTAAAATATATGGTCTTTAAAAAAAAAAAATTAAAATTGTATTTGAGCTTAAAATTATTAGGAGTATTTATTTTGCATAAAGACATCAAGTTAGAAGATCCATTTTCCATACAGAACTTAATAATTATTTCAGGAATGTAGGAATCTTTACCCAAAAAATGCATGAAAATTCTTAGTTAATTATATACTCTTATATTTAATAATATAACTGACTAACATCCTGATTTTAAGTAAGGGAAAGAAAGAAACTACAGGTCTGTCAGTCTCAGTTCAGAGTCCAGTAAAATATTGAAAAAGATACGGAGGTATTGAAAAAATCTCTAGAACAAAGCAGTCATTTGTCACAGCCTACAGGGCTTCATGAGGGGAAGGTTCTGCTTGTCCAACCTAATTTCCTTCTGTGACAGGGTAACCCACCTAATTGATCTAAGAACTCCAGCAGATACAATCTTTTTGAATTTCACAGTGTCCTTATGGATAGAATGTCCATTCCACAGCTGAACAACCGAGTTAGGCACTGGGTGAGCAGCTGGCTCACAGGTCTGGCACAGAGTTACAGGAATGGGGTGACATCAGCTGGTGTCTGGTCACCAGTGGGGTTCCACAGGGCTCCATCCTCAGCCCGGCACTCCTCAACATCTTCATTAACAACCTGTGCATAGGGCTCGAAGGAATACTGAGAAAGTTTGCTGATGACACTAAATTGGTAGCACTGTTGACTCCCTCAAGGGCAGAGGGGCCCTGCAGAGAGACCTGGACAAATCAGAGATGGGCAATCACCAACTCTGGGGAGTTTAGCAAGGATGAGTGCTGGACTCTGCACCTGGATGGGGTAGCCCTGGTTGTGTGTATAGACTGGGCAGTGAGAGGTTGGAAAGCAGTGCTACAGAAAGGGACCGGGGGTCCTGGTCAATGACAAGTTGAACAAGAGCCAGCAGTGCTGTGGCAGCCAGGAGGGCCACAGGTGTGTCCTGGGGGGGCATCAGGCACAGCATCATCAGTTGGGCAAGGAATTGTCCTGCTCTGCTCTGCACTGGGGTGGCCTCACCTTGAACATTGTGTGCAGTTTTGGGTGGCACAATGTGAAAAAGACATTAAGCTATTGGGGAGCATCCAAAGGAGGGCAGAAAGGAGAGTAGGAGGGTCTGGAGGGAAAGCCTTATGAAGAGTGGCTGAGGTCATCTGGTTTATTCAGCCTGAAGAAGAGAAGACTGAGGAGGGATCCCATTGCAGTCTATAACTTTCTCATGGAAAGAAGATGAGGGGCAGGAACTGATCTCTTCACTCATTATTGGTGACAGGACTCAAGGAATTAGCATGAGGCTGAGTCAAGGGAGGTTTAGGTTGTATGTTAGGAAACGGTTCTTTATCCAGAGGGTGGTTGGGCACTGGAACCAACTCTGTCAGGTTTGGTGCTGTGATCACCCAGAGAAATGGTCATAGCACCAAGGGTGACAGAGTTCAGTAAGAGTTTGGACAGTGCTCTCAGGCACGTGGCGTGACTCGGGGATGGTTCTGTGCAGGACCAGGAGTTGGACTTGATGACCCTTGCAATTCCCTTCCAGCACAGCATATTCTGTGATTCTACATCTACAAACTATATATCATGTGCTTTTTTCTAATTTGAATTTCCACAATGTATCCAAGTTGTCATCTATTTTAAACTAAGGTAACTTGTGCTTTAATACTTTCAGAAACCTTGCTAGTTTACTATGTCAAATTATTGAAAGAATTGGCAGAATAAGTGGAGATAATGATCCCTATAAATGACCTTGAACCCTGAAGCCATAAATAGACCATAAATGCCATTTTCAAAATATGACATGAAGTTTTATTCTCATTATACAGTATGAATGTAACTCCCAGAAGTGATTCCGGCAGAGATGATACATTCCCAGGCTATACCATCTTTACCATGAGAACAGAATGGGAAGTGAATTATAGTTTCTTCAGTTATAATATCTTAATAAGATACATGTGACAAACTGATTTATATGTGAAAAAGTTAAAATGCTGACTTGTTCCACTTATCACTTGAACTGTCACACTTTATATTTTCACATTTAATACTTTCACACAAACTGGTTACATTTTCAGTAATCCTTACTGATTCTCTGTAATTGCTATAAGGAAGAAAACAAAAAATGTTTATTCAGAAAGAACTGGTGTAGCACTACACTTCTATTCAAGTTCAAATCTTTACATCTAGGAACAATGAAATTTGTTTAATGATCATGTAATTGGACTTTGTTCTGGTAACAAACAATACCTGTCAGGAAAATGCTGTCAGTATCCTAGCGATGTGTGGTACACAAGAACATCCCTTCCTGGCTGCTTTTTGAAAACACCTCAGAAGAGCCATAAGGGGTAAACATCTTCTTTCTCTTTGCTGGTAGGTCTATACAACCTTGGTCCAGTGAATATTTCCAGGCTCTTTTCTTGCTTGTCCTAAAATGCAAGGAGGAATAGAAGGGCTGAATTGATTGGAAGAACTGCACAAAACATGAAGGGATTCCAACAGAGGGGTACGAGGAAGGCTGCATGTGAATATAACATGAGCAAGACTAGGAGAAAGGGAAATTACAGTTGTTTTCTTTCTGGAGAGTAACTGTGGGAAGGCAGATAATTCAGGTGCAGTCTATAGGAGTAATTTAACAGAAACTAACAAAAATGCTGGGTTTTGATTTCTAGGTTCCTCAAAAGTTACTGAAAGCTGTGGGAAACGATTTATTGCAATTTTACATGCTTGATTTTTGTTCAGGAATGGCCACACATTCTTTAGCATTTTATTTCTTGTATCTCTCCCTGAGTTCAACACTAGTTGAACTAGTTGCTTACAGCTTGTTTGTCTGTGTATAGAAATACAATATAAGTCTTTAGAAACAAAGCAATAAAGAAATCAAAATGGATAGACAGATCAAATTATACTCCACTCTGAACATAGCTGAAGCAATTTGGTCTTATGCAGCAGGCTTTGATTATAACTCTAATTCCTTCTTCACACAGTCTGCCTTCTATATTAATGTGTCAATTCAAGTACTCTTTACTCTTGTCCTACATTTGATTAAAAAAGAAAAAAAATCACATCTGGGCTATATAATTTTAGAATAGGCTCCATTAGTCATGGTGACCTTGATTGACCTTATTTTTTGTTTTAGAAATATGCATATCACATAGTCAAATGAGCTAAAGACCCATTTTCTAAGGGAACTTAGAAATGAGAACGTAACATTAGTGAAAAGAGAGTGAGCCTGATCTGAAATCAGTGTGTAACACTCCATCATGCAAGAGGCTAGGGAGAACAGGAGGCATGCATTATACAGAGGATGTGGTAAGTGGCATGCAATATTCAAAAATGTCTCTGCAAACAGTATGGATACAGTATCTTCCCTTACTGCACTTCCCTTACCTTGCAACGTATAGGAAAGAATGTGCAGCTCAATGTAGTGACCAAGCCGTATATAGGGGAGAATTTTTGTACATAAATTGAGAGCCAAACCTGCACAACTGTGCTTCTCCAACATGGTAAAAGTTGCACTGGGACATACTCTGCTATGCCTTTATAATTCCTTATTTAGACACCTGAAATTCTCAGCTTCCAATTCCAGGATGCTAATGATCATAAAAGGTTTTTTGTATACAAATTCAAATAATTGCTTTCATGATCCTCAGAAAATAAATACTATCCACACATGTGAAGGTGGGGAGGCACATATTCAAAAGCTGTGAGGAAGATTTGGGCTGTGGATTTTTATGGGGCTTGAGGGATTGGTTTTGTTTTCCTCCTCTAAATAGTTTAAATAAACTTACATGGCTGAAGAAGAAGTGCAAACAAGTCCAAAACAGATGTCAGGACCCAGGACGAAACATTCAGCTTCTGTTATTCATTGCTGTAGTGTGTGGATTCCTATGAGGTTTAGGCCTCCAAAACACTTTTCTTTACTGATGAGCCCTTCATACACTGAAAAAGTTCAGCCTTTTTTCATTTTTGAATAACTTCAACCTTAGCAAGAAATTAGTTCATTAAAAAATGAAGAGGAGTGAATTAATCATGAATTTAAAATGGCAAAGATTGAGATTCTCTGCAAAACTTCTTTGTCATATGTGCACACACAAGCTAGAAATGAGAAAAGGTCATACAGAAATGTTTTCAGGGGAGGACAGGGGAGCAAGTGAGGAAACACTTGAAGAAGCAAAGCCTGGGGCACCTGCTGCTCTGGAAAATTTATGGCATTCTCTTGTGGTCAGGGTAAACACTTAACCTGTCATTTGCTTGAAAATTAGAGAAAAACACCTGTTTGTACTGATTAGTAAATTGGGAGTAGAAGAGAAAGGGATTGAGGTGGCAAGATAATAATGAGCCTCCCACATATTTAACTTCTATATCTAGAAACATAAGACAATCGTAGCAAAAACTGTCTCTCTAAACATAAAAAACCATTTTGGTCAGGAATTGTTATGACTCTTATAAAAGTTGGTTTTTATTAGGCATGTTTTTAATTGTTCATTTTAAACTACAGTAGAAAATCTGTGGCTCTCCAGACTGCAGCAGATGAAATTAATATGTTTGGATTTCATTTCAGAATTCTACCTCATTCTATGAAATCAGCTGACAAAAATTAATTCACATTTACTTGAAAAGAGTACATGTTCCAAAGCAAAGACCTTGAAAGACTACCAGATGTATTAAAAGTAACAATATCTCAAACAATATAGTTATTTAATGACCTGTTTTTTCTTATGATGGCTAAACATATCCATGAGTGCCAAACATTTAAATTAAATGGTAGGGAAAACATTGAATTACAGTTAAAAGAGTGGATATACAGGCAAAAAAGAAAAAAAGTGACAATATAGAAAGATATATGTTAAAATTGGTGAAATTTTTGTAAATAATATAAACACAGTAAAATATAGTAATATATCTTATTATTCCCAAGAGTGTCCTTAAAAAGAAAAAAAATATGCACAGGGAATGAAAGAAAACCTGTCCAGAAATAGTCTTCTCTATTTTGCAATTTTGGCCTTAGAGTTTGTATTATTTATGATGTTAATTCCACAGGCTTCAGAGAGCATTTTTTTCCCAGAAGTGGAATGCTTTGAAAAAATATCTTTGGAGAAAACTGTGAAGTTTCCCTCCTCCAAACCATCTCAGTCAAAGATTTCATCACAGAATCTGTCCTTACGTGGTTACAGATGAATCAGGCTTTGCTGGAGAGTGAATTACCAGATACATAATCAGCTTAAGGTGAAGAAGAGCAACAGAAATAGATGGAGTGACATATGGGAAAAGAGAGAATGGCGTTAAAAATGCATAGCTTGGCTTCAGAAATGACTTCATTTGTGATAGGCTTTGACGATAGTTTGCAGCTATTGGGAAAAGTGTGAAATAAAAAAAAAAAGAAAAAGAAATCGTGTGAAACTTAGAGTATTTTTGTTTACACCAAGACTGAATTCAGCCATATGTTTTCTGTAGAGGTGGCTGTACATTCCTTTCAGCCTATATCCACTAGATTTTTCAACAGTTTGTGTTCTGTGAATAAAGAGGTTATAGAGACCTAATATTTCACTAGCTCTTTGCTATCCATATCTCTGCCCAGATCACATTTTATAGGATGTGGAAAATTGTTATATTCATTCAACAGATAGGGGGAGTTCCAGTGTGACTGCAGGAGTGTGAATGCAGGCTTGTACAACATCTGCAGAGCCCAGTGGAAAGCCACACCAAGACTATGAACCATGGTGTACTGGAAGGACCTGCGTTGAAAACATTACATCAGAAGGGTGTGCAGGGCAGGGAACTGAACCTGCTTGACTCCTCACTTCCCATGTTGATGTTACTGTGTCATACTTCCTCCCTGTCTTTAGTTGGACATGTGGTTTTGTTTCAGGCTTGGCATGATAGGAAATACTGCTGTGGTGTGGAAGCAATCCTATGCTATGAACAGAAATATCACTCAATTCAGCACTTTCACAAACGGGAAGAGGTAAGCAGTTAGACTCAGGCTGTAAGTAAATCTATTCCTATGATGATACCTCATTTTCTCCAGAAGGAGCACAGATTTTTTAAATCTGTAAATCTGTTCATTTCATTGTGAATGCTGCACTAAACCACATGAAGCTGTGGTGAAAACTGAATTAGTTTCAAATAATGGCTGCAATGTGACCAAAACCTTTTTGCAGCTTTATCTTCAGACTTCCCCTCTTCCTGCTTTTTCCTCTCAATTCCTCTTAAAATTTTGTTTGTATATGAAGCTGGTTGTTGTTTTCTTCTTGGTCAGGCCAGGTGGCCACCTTTCCATCGTGGCAGTTTTAGTTAAAAGTTTGCTTCCTGGTAGCTGGATGTCTTTTCTCATTAGTTGACTGGTGCTTGTTAATGATTGAGCTGCTGCTTCATGTTTTCCACTCATCCTGTTTCTCCAGCTGACATGTCAGTAGACTCCCTGACAACATCAAGTATCCCCTTATGTCACCTCTCCTCCTCTTGCTGCTTCTGCTCTTTCCTGTGCCTGGCATTCTTGTTCTTGTTCAATGGATTTATTGCTTGGAACAAAAGACTGCATATCCTTGCTGCTTATATTTCTGAGATTTTATTGAGCTGTTTATATTCTGCTATATTGTTGACCTTAAGATCTGGAATTTTATTAAAGATAGGTGGGCTATTTTGAAATTTTTGTTGCATATATATTGCACATAGTAAGGCAATAGATAATTCTGGGCATGCCATGGTGGTTAAATTATGTAAGTTTTATTTGTGAAAATGCTTTGGACATTTTTAGTGTTTCTGTTCCTAACTAGCATTTTGTGAATTTTATTTGTTAATGGTGTTAACAGAGACTTGAGACTGGACATTATTATCTATTTCAGAAATGCAATATAGGTAACATAATTAGCCTTCTTGATAAGGAAGCAAGGTCTGTTTTCAATTGAAATATATAGGTTAATTAGCATGAAATGTAGATCAGAGACACTGCACAGCAAGACTGTTTTCAAATTCTGATCTTCAGATGTCAATATGTATTTTTTTATTGATTGTGCCAATGCACGAATGAATGGTGTGTTTTACAAAATCAGACTTTAAAGTAGGCTGCTACTAGTGTTAAATCTTTTTGAAAAAGAATTGAAGCTGGGGTATTTACCTCAGTGGAGAGTATTAGTCATGCATTAATGGGCTCTAAAATTTTGTATCTGTGTCACACAGTTCCATTTTTTGCCAAAAAGGGCTCTCAGTCTGCCCTCTGTTTGCAAGGAAGGTGTCCTAAAACTATGACTGCTTCATGTATGCTTATAATTATTTCTGTTCTGAGGAACAGAATAACTCTTAGATGACTAAACAGCTGAACATGCATTGACTATGTTTGTGAGATGAAATGGTAGCAGCATGAGAGAAAATGTCCTGGGATATGGTGATTTTTTTTTTCCATTTGTTTGAATTTCATTAATATTGT